GCCAAGTGCAGGGTCTTCTAGCTGGGTGCTGGCAGGCTTGCACCTGGCATGGGCACCGTAGCCAGCCCGTGCCCCTTTAAGAGGTCCGGGACCAGGAGGGGGGCAATAGAGTTTCCCTGGTGTTGGCCAGAGCGGCCACCAGGGAACACTGGGGAGGGCTAGCCTCCCACTAGTTCGAATTAAGGGGTTACACACCCCTTAATTCGAACTAGTAAATTCGAACTAGGCTTAGTCCTCGTAGAATGAGGTTTACCTAGTTCGAACTAAGCGCTCCGTTAGTTCGAATTAAGTTCGAACTAGCGGAGCGCTAGTGTATCGCCTATGAAAGTTAGTTCGAACTAACGTCCGTTAGTTTGAATTAACTTTGTATTGTAGACATACCCTAACAGACAAAACTGACAGTCTATAAGAACCTAAAGGCTGGATAGTTAAAAGAAGGAGATAAGGACCATTAGTAGGTAATTAGAAAGGAAGAATACTAACACCAGAATCTACACAGACAAAGAACCATTGGTATCTTCGTTGTTTGGTTGGTTAATAATGTCCCAGCCATCAGGTATCTCAATTCAGACCGTTAGCAAGAGAATTAAACTTGTGAATTAACTGTAATTCCAACCCTTCCCTATGCATTTGCAGAATTGTTCTGTAACAAAACAGCAACATGAAGATCTCTTAATGAGTGACCAGGCAAATAAAAGTGTTCACCAATAGGTTTCTGTGTGTTCCCTTTACCAATATCTGATTTATATCCATTGATTCTTTCCTGCAGAGACTGTCCAGTTTGTCCAATAAATATTGCAGTGGGGCATTGCTGGTATTTGATGGCATAGATCACATTAGTGGATACGCAGTTAAATGACCTCCGATTTGGTGGCCGATGTGGTTGGGTCTTGTGATGAATTCGTTTGTACAGATATGTGGGCAGAGTTAGCACCATGGCTGATTGCAGGGCTGGGTTCCTGGATTCTTACGATGTAGCTGTGTGGCATGGTTACCAGAAAAAAATTGTTTCAGCTGCGGGGTTTTCTGTAGGCAAGAATTGGCCTTTCCCCCAAGGCCTCTTAGAGTGAGGGGTCATTTTCCAAGATAGGTTGTAGACTGTGGATAATGCGTTGGAGGGGTTTAAGTTGTGGACGTTAGGGAATGACAAGTGGAATTCTGTTGTTTTGGTTTTCTCGGTCTGTCTTGAAGTAGTTCATGTCTGGGTACTTTTTGGGATCTATCAATCTGTTTTTGCACTTCTCCAAGTGGGTATTTCAGTTTTAAGAATGCTCTGTAAAGATCCTGGAGGTGTTTGTCTCTGTCTGTGGGATCAGAGCAAATCCGGTTGTATCTTAGGTCTTGGCTGTATATAATAGTCTGATAAATGTGTCTGGGATGGAAGTTGGAGGCATGAAGGTAAGTGTAGCGGTTGGTGGGTTTCCAATATAGGGTGGTGGAAATTTGTTCATTATTTAATTGTATTGTAGTATCGAGGAAATGGATTTCCCGTGTGTACTGGTCCAGGCTGAGGTTGATGGTAGGACGGAAGTTGTTGAAATCCTTGTGAAATTCTTCAAGAGTGTCTTTTCCAAGGGTCCATAGTATGAATATGGCATTTACATAGCATAAGCAAAGTTAGGGGTTTAGGGAGCGAGAGCTGAGGAAAAGTTGTTCAAGGTCAGCCATAAAGATGTTGGCATATTATAAGTTATTAAAGTAAAATGAACAAAAAATGTTTAGCTAGTTCTAATTTACTAAGAAACTTGTTACCTAAAAATTCTTGCCCTAAATATCTGTTCTTATTTTAGGTAAAAGCTCCAAATCAAAACTGATATTTTACTCTAACTTGGCTCTACAGATTCTTCAAAGTTCGTTTGTATCTTCTTAGGGTGGGCTAGACAGTTTCTAAAGCCAACTGAAGACCAAGACTAATTGCTTCCCATTGCTTAAATAGTCTTTCCCTCAAGGCAAGAACCTTTTGTTTTGCATCTCCCATCTCCATAGAATATTACCAGGTCCAAGAAGGATTGTAAGACCAGGTGGACTAGTCACATGTCTTTCTAGGACCAACCACAGTCCATTTGGGCTTCTGGAATGAACAAGACTATTCAGAGGTTGTTGACTTGATTCCCAAGCCATCCAGGTTTCAGGGCCTCATTAATGACCCTCATTATCACATTTATAATTATAAACAGAGCCACACTTCGTATTTCTAACTTCACATACAGGAACGATACACATACAGAAATAGGATGTACAGAGCCAGCACACTGTAACTGTAGAATGGACGTGTTCCATGTCCTGGTTATGTGTATTCATATTCAGAAGCCAATTTTCATAAGGCCTAGGGGGAGGACACAGATCCAGGTCAGCATTTCTGCCAGACACAGCACCTGAGCACAGCTCCAGCCTCCTGCAGCAAAATGCCTCCTGCTGGCTTTGAGCTCTCACAGATCTGAACAGAGGCCCTCCAAAGTGAGAGCTTGTCAGTGCAACCCACTCACTGTGCTGGTCTGTTCCAAAGTACAACCCGTTTCCATGCCAGTTAACTCTGGCCTAACAATAGTTATTACAGAGAAGTTAACCCCCAACCTCACATTGTTATTGCATTACCTTTCCAATGACATTGTCAAACTTACTTCCTGCAGACCCACAAGCTGCCAGCCAGTCCTCGGAGAAACCTGAATTACGGATTGTTCTAGTTGGGAAAACTGGAGTTGGGAAAAGTGCAACAGGAAACACAATCCTTGACGAGAGAGCGTTTGAGTCTAAAATCGCACCACAATCAGTGACAGTGAATTGTGTGAAGAAGAAAAGGAACCGGAAGGGCATGGACCTTGCTGTCATTGATACTCCTGGTCTGTTTGACACAAAAGTGTCTTTACTGGAAACTATGCAAGAAATCGGGCGCTGTGTTGTTGTCTCCTCCCCAGGCCCCCATGCTATCGTCCTGGTGATGCAGCTGGGTCGTTTCACTGAAGAAGAGAAAAAAACAGTTGAACGAATTCAAGACATTTTCGGGAAAGAAACTGCGCAGTACATGATCTTCTTGTTCACCAGAAAAGAGGACTTAGAGGGTGGAGATTTACATGATTATCTAAAAGATTTTAATGACAAAGATCTTGAGAAGCTGATGAAAAGGTGCGGGAATCGATGCTGCGCTTTCAACAACCGAGCGACAGGCCAGGAGCAGGAAGCCCAGGTTTCAGAGCTGATTGCAATGATTGATGAGATGGTGAAGCAGAATGGAGGCTCCCATTATACTAATGCCATGTATGAATTTGCACAGAAGAATCTTCAGGAAAATATCGAGACGCTCAGAGAACTCTATGAGGAAGAGATGGGGAAAAAACAAAACAAAATTAAATCTGATCATGATGACGAGTGTAAAAAACTAGAGAAATTAGGGCCACATGATGAAAACGCTTTGAAAGAGAAGAAGGAGGCCCTGCAACAAAAACTGGACAAAGATTTAGAGGAAATAAACAACTGCTACCAGAAACAGCTGTGTGAACTCAGGGAAAAAGCTGAGAAGGATGTCAGTATAATAGAAGCTATTCTAAAAAAATTTGCTTCTGTATTTGCAAACATCAAACTCTGGGGTCATTAACAATTGACTTGCTGTAATTTCTTCTGCTCTTGCTTCTTTCCCAGTTTTTGAGTAGTCATGAAAGCCGTTTCTGTGCTTCGTAACAGTTTAACCTCCTAATGTTTTCTTCACAGATGTTTACATTTGTATCATCTTCTTAGGCTAGGTCAAGACTACAGGCTTCTTGCGCAAGAATCTTTTTTCGGAAGAGATCTTCTGCAAAAACTTCTTGCACAACAGAGCGTCTAGACTGCCCTGACGCTAGCTCACATGTAAGCTGTGATTGCTATGGACAGAACGGCCACCAGGCACCTGTGCTTTTTCCTCTTCCCTCTTCTTGCACAAAAAACCCTCCTCCCCGTCCACACACGCCTTTTTGTGCAAAAACTCTTTTGCAATAAGGCGTTCTTCCTCATAGAAAGAGAAATACCAATTGCAGAAAAGTCCCTCTGTTCTTTTGACTTACTTGCACAAAAATAGCGAGGAGTCCTGTGGTACATTATAGGCTAACAGATGTATTGGTGCATAAGCTTTCGTGGGCACAGACCCACTTCATCAGATGCATGTAGTGGAAATTTCCAGAGGCAGGTATAAATATGCAGGCAAGAATAAGGCTAGAGATAATGAGGTTAATTCAGGCTGATTCTATTTGCCCACGAAAGCTTATGCTCCCATACATCTTTTAGTCTATAAGGTGCCACAGGACTCCTTGTCACTTTTGCAGATCCAGACTAACACGGTGACCCCTCTGATACTTGCATGAAATCATGATTGAGGTGTGGATGTTCCATGAGATTTTGCAGAAAAACAGTCATTTTTCTGCGAAAACTCTGTAATGCAGACATAGCCTTAGTCAGCTTGTGCCTTCATATCCTGAAGCTGTTGCATGTAAAATATGAGTGAATGAAGTTATGAATATCTGTTGTTTAGTAACACTGCCAGTTGGTTCCATTAAAGATTCTGGCTACAGTTATTAGATCTCTTTTGGGCTAAGAGTTGGAAGAGGGTTGGGTGATGTAGTATATTAATTGCGACTAATATTGTTGTGAGTCTGGTGGTAAATGTAGACCATATTTCTGTTCAGGAATCATTTTCAGAGGTTAGAAGCTGTTTAAAAAAATAGCCATAAATTACAGAGGAGTCACTGTGTTAGTCTCCAACTTTAAAAACTAGTACTCCTGTGGCAGCTTAGGGTATGTCTACACTAGCCCCTAGTTCGAACTAGGGTAGCTAATGTAGGCATTCGAATTTGCAAATGAAGCCCGGGATTTAAATATCTCGGGCTTGATTTGCATCTTCCCATCCAGTCCCCATTTTGACTACACAGGGTTCAGTATTTGTAAGTTGTGACCAGCCACCCGTGTCACATGATATTGTTTCTGTTTCTGCATGAACATGCTTTAAACAGGAAGATAAATGATGTTGATTTTCATACCAATAATCTGAAAATTCATGAAACTTCAAAGATATGTGTGTATTGTTTCATATTCACTTCAGCACTTTTGTTCATTGAACTACAGGCAGTCCCCGGGTTACGTACAAGATAGGGACTGTAGGTTTGTTCTTAAGTTGAATTTGTATGTAAGTCGGAACTGGTACATATTGTAGGGGAAACTCTAGCCAAACATTTTTTTTAGTTTTGGATAGCATAGGGAAAGGTTAACTCCCCTCTAATGTTTGTTTTGCTGTCTGTTCCCCTGTTCAGAAGATTTCACATCTATTTCTGTCCCTGTGACAAACTCAGGACTAAAAGAGTAACTCATCAAATACCAAACAGCTCTGCACCATGCTTTGAGCTAATAGCTTTATTTCCACACACCACCCAGGGTTCTAGGAGGAGGGTCCTTTTTTTGCTAACACAATGAGGCCAGCACTTTGTTTGTTTTGGTGGAGTCTTTGTTTGCCCAGGGAGCCCAGCATGTATAGGGGGAGGAGGGGCGGAGAGGCTGCTTTTGTCTGCTGTTCGGCAGCCTGTTGCTCAGGGGAGGGGGCAGCGGGCGTGGGGAGGCACTTTTCCTCTGCCCGGCAGCTCTGCGGGACCCCAGTCGGAGCCGGCCTGAGGAGGAGGAGGATCCTAGGACCCAGGTGAGCGAGCCCCGGGAATGCTGCTGCGCATGTGCGGGAGTTGCCTCACCCCGTTCGTATCTAGGGATCCGACGTAAGTCGGATCCACGTAAGTCGGGGACTGCCTGTACTTGGGACCAAAGTTTTTAAAAATATTCAACCAGTTCTAAGGGCCATCTAACTCCTACAGTCCTACCACATTGACCTATGGATATAACCTACCCGTAATCATGTCACTTACTTCTGTATTTGCCTGTTTAGCTTTTGATTTTCTGTGAAATTTCATGTGTTAATTCCTATGAATGATGCTATGAATATGAATTGTATGCTTTTTAGCTGTATGGCAGCCGCGTGTGTGGGGGGGGGGAGGGTTGAGAACTTGATGGCTCTGTTTAGTTTTATGCTGAATTCTGGACCACATTAAATCAGATGCCATTCATTGTAGAGCAGTTAAAGTCTCCTTTTTGCCTTTTATTCCATGGGAGGCCAGATTGCCAGGATTTTACCAGTAGCCGGGTGTCCGGGGATTTGGGCAGATGTATGGTTCTCCGGAGTCT